ACACGGAGCCACAGTTTCACCACAGCAATACCATAGTCTCTCCACCACCAGGGTCTCACTCTCATCAGGGTCTTGCTGCCACAATTCTTGCTCGCTGCAAGTTTTGCTGCCTACTGTGGGAAGCACTCTCTTATCCTAGTTCCACAGCTGATGATGATTTGCAAGACCATGTGTCTGCTCTTAAGGAAGCTGGAGACCAGAGTACGCTAACTAATGGCTAAAGAAATGCTGACACCACAATGTTCTACTCTTTGTTTCCTAAATACAAACATTCCCATATCATACTCTTGATCGTCATGCTGAGATGCTTCATCCTATTAGGCAATAGCACTTTTAAAAAAAATTACTTGCATGAAGGTTTAAAAATTCAATTTTAATATTATCCTTCTTAGATATTTGGTTTTATAATATTGCCATTGATCATTACCTTTAATTACAATGTCTGAGCAACTATTTATTGTGTAGTGCCTTTCCCTTCGTGTTTATTTTCCCTTAGTATTTATTCCCTCTCCTTCCCTTCCTATCCTTGTTACCCTTCCAAGATAGATTCTATCTGTAAAAGTCATCCATAGTTTTTCCTTCTAGCTTTTCTTAAAAAAAATCATTTGGAGCAGCCCTCCAATCATAACTTTTGCTTTCTTGTGCCATTTTTATTTTTTAAAAAATTATTATATTTTATATTAGACGATATAGTGGGATTTAAACTAGGAGTTTGTTTGAATGAAGGGACAATTATACCAACAAGCACAGCCAAATAAGATTCCAGAGAGACAGGTAAACCAATCTGGGATAAAGCTGGAGTGGAGCAGAAACCTTCCCTAAGGGTTTCTGTAAGGAAAGTCATTGCAGGAACTAAAGTCTCTCAAAATTTTATGGCAATGTATTTTTGTATAGGCGAAAGATTTGGAGATCTACTCCCTTAAAGATTACTGTCTAGAAAACCTGGGTCAGTACTGCTCAGTCACATGGGATTGTTGTAAGTAAAATCAACTCAGTAGCATCTAACAACAGCAACAACCACAACAAAACTCCATGCTGTTGTTGTTGTTAGGTGCTGTCAAGTACGACTCATAGTGACCCTGTAAATAAACTGAATCTTGACCTGTCCTGTATCACCCTCATCACCTCTGACCACACTTGAGCTCATTGCTTCAGTCGCCGTGTCAATTCACTAAAGTCATGACTAGAAGTTGTCTTCTCTTTTGTTGACCTCCCCCCCAGTACCTTTCTAAGCATGATATTCCTTTCCAAGTATTTTGATCTAAATAGTCTTACTATTTAAAGCTTTTTGGTGGTTTTGTTAACACGTTGCAGCAAGTGACGGTAATACAAAAAAAAAGTGTTTCTAAGCACGGTCGTCAATTTAAAAGTGTGCGGCAACGTGTTAAATGTTACATTTTGAAATGTTATTCCTATCTATAATACTTTGGGCATGTTGCAAGGAGGGACTGATCCTTGGAGAGGGACATCATGTTTGGGAGAATGGAGGGACGGCACAGGAGAGGAAGACCCTCGATGAGATGGATGATTCTGTGAGTGGAGTGGTGGGAATGAATGTGTTTGAGACGGTGAGGTTGGCACAGGATATAACAACGTTTAGGGCTCTTGTACATAGGGTTGCTATGAGTCACAAGCGACTCACTGGCACATAACAACAACATCCATAATTGATCTGGTAAATAACATATTACGTCTTCTGAAAAACAGCTCCTTATATGTCTAAGCAAGATGCACCTCTCAACCCTCTACTGAGCACTTTTTTAAGGTTTACATGAAGACGTAAACCTCCCTATAGACTCGGATATGTCTTGAAAAGTGTAAGACTGAGTTCCCCAGTGGTCCTATGAGCCTCTTGCTTCAACAGTGTTTGGACGGAACAGACCCAGCAACTTCCCCCCTTCCAGCCTCCCTCCAGCTTCATCTTCAGGCGTAACCTCGGAACCATCTCAACCATCTCCCATTTTCGGGACCAGCTAACACCTTTTTTTTGTTAGCCCCAAAACCTCGACTGACTATGAGCTCTCAGATCCATCAAAATTATTTCACCCAAAGCAGAAGCTGGTGTCAACCATCTGGCCAGTCTGCACCTGCGGGCCTTTTACATCTACCTCTCTCTAGGTTTTTATTTTGACTGCGATGATGTGGCCTTGGAAGGCGTGGGACACTTCTTCCGCGAGCTGGCGAAGGAGAAGCGCAAGGGTGCCGAGCGGCTCTTGAAGCTGCAGAACCAGCGCTGCGGCCGAGTCCTCTTCCAAGATATCCAGAAGCCATCACAGGATGAGTGGGGTAAATCCCTGGACGCCATGCAAACAGTGCTGGCCTTGGAGAAGAACCTAAACCAGGCCTTTCTGGATCTGCACGCTGTGGGTTCCACCCACATTGACCCCCATCTCTGTGACTTTCTGGAGAACCTCTTCCTGGACGAGGAAGTGAAACTGCTGAAGAAGATGGGTGACCATCTGACCCACATTAGAAGACTGGGCGGCCCCCAGGCTGGGCTGGGTGAGTATCTCTTTGAGCGTCTCACCCTCAAGCACATCTAGGGATCTGTGGGGACCTGCAGGGGGAAACCTCTGGTCCCCCTGCCAACAGCAGTAAACTTCTCTATCCCACCCTGATGTAGAATTTTATCCACCCAGAAGCCTTTCACCCAAGCCTTGTTGGACCAAATGAAACAATAAAGCTTTTTGCAACAGCTAAAAAAAAAAAAGAAAGAAAGAAAAGAGTAAGACCAAGGTGTTCCTTGGAGGCAAAGATTTTGAAGCATCGTCTCACATACTTGGAGAAGGCTATCATGATTAGAAGGGTGGAGGGACAACAAAGGAGAGGGAGACAGCGGATGAGATGGACTGACATGGTAACTTGGGTTTTAGGTGTAGGTTTATCAGAGACAGTGAGATTGGCTTTGAGCAGAGTTCAGAGCTGTTGTGCATAGGTTCACTATGAGTTATAGTCGATGGCACATAACAACAGTAGTCTAAGAGAAAATATAGGCTTATAGCATAGACACAACCTTATTACTAATTACCCTAAATTCTTATGGTATGGAGTCAAAAACAGCACACAGATGGACTGATTAAAAAAGCTATTTGGAGGAATGCATCTATCACAAATCACTGGGATGTTTTTACAGGTAGACATTATTGGGTAGATCGTGTCTAGCTGGAGATTTTGCATTTCTTACAAGCTCTCAGGTGATATTGATGCTGCTCATAGATGGAAAATGGTAGGCTTTTAGAGTGTGTACAGAGGTAAGGAATTAAGAGAAAGATGTATTGTTCAGCTAATTGTTCACCCAGGCTGGGCTCATATCTGGCGCCCAGAGAGAGTGAATCTGGCTGGTGATCTGACTAGAGTGCTCCTGGTCCCCTCCTTCGCATCCCTATCTCCTCCCTGGTAGTGAGTATCTTTCATATCCTGATGAGCAATGATAAAAGTGTACATCCACATACCAGAGGCAATGATAAGGTTCCTGAGGCCTCTGGCCACCAAGTAATGGTAAACCCCGTCTTGGCAGTGGGAAGTGTTCTTTTTGGCATTCTGCCTCCACCCAACTGGTTTGTATAACAGTTGGGCTCCAGAAATGGCTTCTGAGGCAAGTCTGTAATTGACAATCAGGAGCTTGCAGAAAATTTTATCTTTAGTTTTTAAGTTTCCTGTTAAAAATGCTCATTACTTGTAGGAGTCTTAGCATGTTAAGTGGCCTTCACAGGACCCACTGAAGGAGCCTGCCGCAGTGAAATGTGTCCCTCTCTTACTCTCCTTGAGCATTTTCCTTATCATTTTCTGTGAACATTTCACCGGCCCCCACTGTGTACTTCTATTCTGTAGACATTCTCAGAAACAGAGGACCGGAAAGCAGTTGTTGCAGGCAATTTGTTCCCAAGTCTGTGCAAGCAAAGCTAGAGAGAATTCTTTTCATTGTCTTACTGGAGAACTTTCCTGTGGAATTCCCCTGTAGATTGGATTGCAGCTGTGGCTCGTAGATTCAAGAGCTCTTGTCCAGCAGGCCTGTCTCAGTATAAACTGGGGAATGTTGGCGGTGTCTGGTTGACTCACTGGTTTTCCTAATTCCGGTTTGTCAGTCACCTGAGGGCTTGTTAAAATGAAAATTGCTAGACATCTCACCTAGAGTTTGATTCAGCAGGTCTGTAGCTGTGTTTAAAAAAAATTAAAGGAAACAGTTGCAGTCAAGTCACCATGAGTCATTGGAGCCCGTGTGTGTCATAGAGCTATGATCCATAGAGTTTTTAGTAGCAAGGCTTTCTTAGTAAGCACCTCTGGATGGACGTGAACCTTCAGCCTTTCATTTGGCAGCCTGTCACGTCTGGTATTTGCATCACCCAGAGATTCTTAGATCTAAGGCAGAGCCTGAGACTTTGTAACAGATCTTTTGTGATATGTTTGCGTAAAAGGCAGTCTGTGATGACCAGAGAGGTGAGCATGCATTCACAGTAGTATATGCATGATTGGTGAAGATCACAATCACCATCATTACTTCTCAGTTTCCTCAGACTTACTATTTGCCTTTTTATTTTATGTTCTTTTAATAATGAAGCCCAGGGAAGCAGCAGCTGTTTGGGAATTCTTGTATGGTCTGTGCTTATTTGTGATAACCCAGCTCATTTCCTATAAAACATCTTAGTTTATACTGGACTTTGAATCCATCAGCTGCTATTTGGGAGAAAGGTAGGTGATCTCCTTCTATGCAATTTACAACCTCTGAAAACCCACTGAAAGGTCAACTATGAGTCATTTCCAACTCTATGATAGACTAGAACAGCAGTTTTCTAGGGTAGAGATAGAAGGATAAAGATATATGGATGCATATTTTCCTCAACAGCTGAGAAGAGGAAGGTAGCCGACTTGCTCTTTACATCCTTCTAAATCCTTTAGTGGACTCTGCTTAGATTGAAATGATTAAGTTGATTTCATTCCATCTGTTGGTGCTGGTGCTCTTTTGAGCAAGGTGACTAATGCACTGCTTTCTCTTGAAGCAGTTCTGGAGCTTCCCATGAGGCACACAGTGATCTGGACCTGGGGCTGGATGACCTGCCCTCAGATGAGGAGGAAGTCAGCAACAGTTCCGATGAAGATGACGTCAGCTCAGAATCTAGTAAAGGAGAGCCCGACCTCCTGGGAGAGAAGCAGGTAGGTTTGCGTGCTGAATTGTTTCTGCTTTTGTACTTGGTGACTTCTCATGATGTTTAGGAGTAATACTTATTAGCATAATAGGCACAGAAAACCCGAGGGAATTTTCTTGAAGCTTATAAGAAATTGTTCTGACTTATATTAAATTTTCCCTATAACCTGGAATCGATTTTCTTGTCAAGTGCATATCACTTAGAGATCATGTACTGGTTTTGAGAAGTTATCTATAGTGATACCTACTCATTTTCTTTTTTGATGTCTTACAAGATGTCCTTGTACTGCTATACACTCTATTTAGATTTCCTGAATGAAAGGAAAGATATATATTTGCATATATAACCATATCTTTTTTTAGGAACAGAGCCGATTGCTGTTAGTAGCATTTTCTTTGAAACAATCCAATTTGTTGGGATTAGATTCACAACGCAAATAAAGTGTGATTTTTCATGTATGAATACTTGTGTAAAACAAATGAGTACTGTTTCTTACTTTTATTTACATTTAAAAGTTTCCATTATAAAAACGTTCTTAAAAGATAATATTTTAAAAGGAAATTTGTTTTTTAAAGATGCTATTTTATGTTTTAGCAAGTTGTCACAAAAATTATGCAGATTTTATTTTTTTTTAGCATGTGGAATAAGGAATGGTTTTTTTTTAAAATGTCCATTCATTCATTGTTGCACATTTTCTTACCTACCCCCCTTCCCCCAGTTCACTTTTATCTTTTAAAAGAAAAAAAACAAATTCTTTCATTGTTATACAATCCCCCCCACCCAAGTCCACTTTATTATGCAGTTCTTATTCTGGATTCTTGTTATGTAAGTCATACCTAATGATATATCCCTTTTAAACAGTTCTCTCCATCATCTGTTTCAATTATTTAGCCCCTGTTTTCTTAGTGTTCCCCCAAATTCAATGTCAGTCCTGTTTTATAACAGTGGAATTATGCAGTATTGGCCGTTTTGTGACTGAGATATTTTACTCAACATAATGTCCTCCAGGGTCACCCATTTTGTATAGTATTTCATGAATTTCTTGTTTTTCAATGCTACATAGTATTCCATTGTGTGAATATACCACAGCTTCTCAATACATTCATTTGTTGATGGGCACGTGAGTTGTTTCCAACTCTTTGCTATTGTGAACAAAGCTGCAGTAAATATGGGTGTCCATATCTCTGCTTGGATGACAGTTTTCGTTTCTTTTTTTTTTTCAATTTTTTTTTAATTTTTGTGTGAGTGTACCATCAAATCAGATCTGACTGGTACAGGAGGAGATTGTCCCTCCTTTTCCCGGCAGAGCATCTGGTGAATTCGAACCGTGTGCCTCTGGGATTGTAGTTGCAGCTCCTTGCCACTAGGCCACCAGAGCTCCGCAAGAGTGGTGCATCTGTTTGCCAATTTATTATCTAGCTAAGCAGAACATGCTGATCTTTGGGATGCTGAAGGAGAGATGAATGGGCTTCGGAGTGAGTGTGGCAGTTTAAAAAACCCTTCATTTTTGGGACCTGCATATTTAGCTGTTTTGGAAGGCAGTTTCCTTCTTGAGTTTCAAATACAAGACTGCTACAGTCAAATCACATTATTCCGTGGTAAAATCTTCTTTGTTACTTTAGAACCAGAAAAAAGTTGTATTTCTAATATCTAAAAAAAACAACCCACTGCATTCTGATGGGACAGGAGAGACCGTAAATGCATAAGCAATAAAGACTTCAGAATGTTGACTGCCATTAAAGGAGTAAAAAAGAGTATTGTGCTAGAAACTGTGAAGTCTACATTGTATAAAGCCTTGAGGAAAGTGATATTTTGTTGAGACTTGGGGAGAACTTCGGAATCATTCAAGTATCTTTCCTCCTCAATTGCCATGTTTATTGAAATCACACTAAATCCACTGTTGTCGTATTTCAACCCATAGTAACCCTAAAGTCTGAGTTTTACAAGGCTGTAAATCTTTGCAGAAGCAGACAGCTGCATCTTTCTCCAGTGTTTAGTAGTCCAGTGCTTATCTACCACCACCTGCTGCTACAGTGAATCCCCCTTTTTCTCTTTGATAAACAACCGTAAGAGATTTTGTTTGTTTCTAACAGATACTATTTTCTTTCCTTTTGATCTGTATCTCTTTTTTGAACTCTTTTCATGTTTTTCCAAATGGTATGATCTGATTTCTCTGTTCCACTAGAGTCCTCATCCCAGTGGAGTTCTGGTGGTCTAGTGGCAAGAAGCTGCACAACAGTCACTTAGGCACATGGTTCAAATCTACCAGTTGCTCCACGGGAGAAAGATGGACAGTCTCCTCCCTTGTGATTTACTGTCTCTGAAAACCCACTGGAGGGTCAATAGCTGTGGGTCGATTCTGACTCAGTGGCACACAGCAACAGCAGGGATCTGACACTAATATATGGTATTAAGGAACATTTAAGGATAAGTCACTAACCTTTTTATGTTACACAGCTTCCCAGAACATCCTGTCATAACACTGCCTGCTTGTCTTACTCAGTTTTGGTCTGTAAAAACTACTGAGGTTCCTTTGTCTGTATTTGTGCCTTACCTTTCCTCTTCCGTCCTGTAATGTTGTATATTTGTCCTTAGTTAGAATTCTCAGCCGTCCTGATAATTTTTAATCTCTTCTTCTGAGGCATCAGTGCTGTTGTGGTTAGATGCCATTGAAACAAGTTCAACTTACTAATTGCTTATTAGCAATCCTGTGACTGACAGGTGGAAACCATGCCATGTTCTCTGTCATCCTCACGATCTCTGCTGTACTCAAACCCACGGGAATTTCAAGACTATAAATCTTCATGAAAGCTGGCAGCCACATCTTTTTGTCTGTAGAGTGGCAGGTAGGTTTGAACTATTTCATAGTTAGCAGCCACGGACTTCAATCTGAGCCACCAGAGCATCTTCTGATGAGAAGGAAGTGATCTCTCACTGAGGTATTGATTTTCAGAGCTCTAATAGCTAATGATGGAAGCTAATTGGGAGGAGGAGTGGCATCCACTTCCATAATAGCTTGCCTATGGAAACCCTATGAACCTGGAGAGAGGATGAAAGGCGGCACCCAAGCGTCGAGGACTCTCCTTCATAGGGTCGCTATGAGTCGCCTGAGACTTGGCGGCACTTAACAACAACAATAGCTAATGAAGCTGTGCATCTTTTCATGTTTGGCAATCATTTTACTTTCTTCTTTGGATGTATCTGCTCTCATAGTGACCCTAAACAACAGAATGAAACTCAGCCTGATCCTGTGCGTAAGTCCTTTGTTCCAGGCGTTGTGTCGGTCCACTTCCCTAATAGCCATAAGATCTTGGTCAAATATTTGTGACTATGCAAAGGCTTTTGACTATGTGGATCACAGCAAGTTGTGGCTAATCTTGATAAGAACGGGAATCCCAGAACACTTGATTGTGCTCATGCAAAGTCTATACTTTGACCAGAAAGCAGTCATCAGAACAGAGTAAGGAAACAGCATGGTTCAAAATCAGGAGTGCGTCAGGGATGCCTTTTTAATCCATATGCAGAACAGATCATTCAGGAGGCTGAACTTTATGAGGAGGAATTGTGACATCAGGATTTGAGGAAGACTCATCAACAACTTGCATTATGCAGGTGACACAACCCTGCTTACTGAAACTGAGGAGGATCTGACACACTTGAGGCAGAAGATCAAGGACTGTAGTCCACAATATGGATTGAAACTCAACATCTAGAAGACAGAGGTTCTCACTACTGGGCCAATTGACAGCATCATGACAGATGAAAAGAGATTGAGGTTGTTAAACATTTTGGCTTGCTTGGCTCCACAGTCAACACTGTTGGAACCAGCAGTCAAGAAATCAAGACAAATTGCTCTGAGGAAAGCTGCTGTGAGGGACCTCTGCAAAGAGCTAAAGAGCATCAGTGCCGGTCTGGAGACTAAGGTGCATCTGAGTCAGGCCATGGTCATTGCAGTTACTTTCAAGAACTAGACCGTGACTAGAGTTGACAGCAGAAGAATTATTGATGCCTTTGAATTGTGCTGCTAGAGAAGAGTACTGAATATACTATGGACTTCCAAGAGTATAAACAGGTCTGTCCTGGAGCAGATGAAACCAGGCTGCTTCTTGGAGACAAGGATTTTGAAGCTCCATCTCACATACTTTGGGCATGTTGTCAGGAGGGACTGATCCCTGGAGAAGGACATCATGCTTGGAAGGGTAGAGGGGACAGCACAGGAGAGGAAGACCCGGATGAGATGGATTGATGTAGAAACTTGGGTAATAGTGGTAGGTATGTCATAGTTGGTAAGACTGTCTCAGGGTAGGGCAAGGTTCAGATTTCTTATACATAGGATAAAGCCTGAGTAGAACTGTTGAGAAAGGTAGAGACCTCATCAAACCTAATCAACTGCCATGGAGTTGATTCTTACAGTGAACCTTAAAGACAAAAATAAATAAAATAGAACTAGCCATAAGGTTTCCAAGACTGGAAACTTTCACAGAAGCTGACTGCTGCTGCTTTTTCCTTTGAACCTGCAGCCTAATTCTTTAATTACTGTGCCCTCAGGGCTTTTTTCTGTCATGTATTCTATGAAAAGTAATGGATCATTTTTCACTGAAGTATCCTTGTAATAACAATATTAAAAGAAGACAGTTAAAGAATTTTAAAGATAAGGTATTCTCAAGAAAATTTGGAGTTTGTTTTACTTGCTTTATAACCTTGACAAAATCATTTTGCTTTTTTATAGCTCATATTTCAACTACCACAACCATGTCCTTTTGGGAAATACAGTTACTTAATAGGTAGACTGCTTTGAAATGTGGTATCATTTAAATGAGGATTCTCGTTTACTAAAAGTTAAGATGCCAAATATGACCTCTCCCAGAGTCTCATAGATGGGTGAATTTTTCCATCATTGGTTGACTTGGGTCAGAATCAGTCGTTGTTACAGATTGGAGGCAGATTAAATATTTTTTCATTTTTAGTTATTTATGGTTTCTTTCAAGTTTGCAACGAATTCTAACCTATTTAGTAATTTTCTAATAGTTAATATTCCTGTCCTTCTATTTTAAAAAGAAAAAGTGAGTGATAGAATACATAAACTGTTAAAATTTTAGAACTGGAATGAATTTAATCATCTGGTTCCATCCCTTGCTGTTTCATACAATAAAATATTAATAAAATTTTTGGGTTTTATTATCTTAAGTTTTTCACACTACTCAACATAAATTATATAAAGCACTGAATGTGCTTTAATTTTGGATTCTGTGAAGATAGCAGCCACCCTTGTCAACATTTACCAGTTCACAAGTATTAGTTTCACTGTGGGCCAGCTACTGGGTCAATGTGGAGAATGATAAAGAGTGAACCCAGATCATATACCAGAGGGAATTCATATTAGCAAGCAAGTGACTGACACAGTCCATTTTGTTAAGTCTTACTATGGATGATCGGAATGAGAGAGTAATTTCATCTTTTAGGAGTCATGGGAAGAAAACATCAAGATAATCTCCACAAGGTTTTCAAGCAAAAAAACTTTTAGTGACATCTTAAATGATGAATTGGAATAAAACAGGTAGAAGTCTTTAGGAAGAGGAGAAGATGATTGAAGGCCATTCAGAGCAGAGGGAATGGCGTGTGCAAAGAAGCAGGCATGAAAGAGCAGTGCACACTTGGAATTGCAAGGTGGTTTCAGTTTGGTTGGAGTTGGGAGACCCAGTGTGGAAAAGTTGGAAAGAAGCAATTGGGGGTGACCCAGCACACTATCCAGTGCTGTATACAAATGCAAAGGGAAGATTGGGATGTGTTATTCATAAGTGATAGGGAGCTGCCAGTGGAGTTCAGACTGAAGATTAAAGATGATACTTGTATTTTGGAAACAATACTCTGGCAGTAGTATAGAAAATAGATTGCTGTAGGTTGAGCCAAGGAAACCACTTAGATTATTGCTACAAGTCAGAAGGAGGCAATATTGGCAGAGAGGAAAAGATCAATTTGCATTAAAGGAATATTCTGCAAGGTACATTGACAGGACTTGATGACTAAGGTGAGGTGGTAGAAGCTGACAGTAAGGACAGGAAAGAGCCATTCAGATTTCTGGCTTTGTTGGGTGGGTGAGTATCTATTTAACATGCAGATGCTTCATGGATTGTTGGACAAGTGACTGAAACCATCAAATTCTTTATTCTTTGTGAAGCTCTTCCTGAATTATACACCTCAGTCTGATTATGATCTTTTTCTCCTTCAAGATGTCAGTCTATTTCATAGCTGTCTGTTTCCTGTCTCAAATCTATTGAATCAGAATTTCAAAGGGAGCTAATGGGGATCTGAAAGTTCAGCTCTCCCTGGCAGTTATAATAATCAGTAATGTTTTCAAACTTAGCTGTAAAACAGTGAAAAACAGCTGGCACTCAAATCTGTTTTCTTCACTCTCATGATTTCAGCTACCATTTATGTGCCATTATTATTTTTTAACACACAAGCATGTGCGCACGTGCGCGCGCGCACACACACACACACACACACACACACACAGTTCTCCACTGCTTGTACTGTGTCTTATTAACTTATGAAAACAAAGATTATTACAAAAAAGTTTAAATTTTAATATGCTATAAAATCTTGAGGGATAATCCCTTGAATGATATGAAGTAAAAATAGTTTTGAAGTATGTTCATAGAAGCCAGCTCCTCTCCTGTCTGCACTACGTCCCAGACCACTCTGCACGCACGCCTCTGTTCTCTGTACTATTCCATGGCCACCCTTCACTCCGTACGCTCCTTATGCAGCCTCCATTCTGTGCTTCATTGTAAGTCCCTCCACACCCTGAGAAGCATAGTCAGGAAATCAAAATATGTGTTGCATTGGGAATTTCCCCTGGCAAGGACCTCTTTAAAATACTAAAGAACAAGGATTTCATGTAAGACTAAGGTGCCTCTGACCCGAGTTTTTTCATTTGTTTCATATGTATGCGAAAGTTGGACAATGAATTAGAAAGACTGGAGGAAGAGTACGGACTAAACCCTGGACTGCCAAAGAACAAACAAATATGTCTTGAAAGAACTATAGCTACAGTGCTCTGCAGCAGCAAAGCTTGTTGACTTCATCTCTTACTTTGGGCATGTCAGGAGATGCCAGTTCTTAGAAAAAGACATTTGGAAAGGTAGAGGATCATCAGAAGAGAGGAAGACCATTAGTGAGATGGATTGACACAGTGTCTCGTCAACAGTGAGCTTCTATTAAGCAAAGCAGAACTCGTGAAGATGGCACAGGATCAGGCAAAGTTTTGATTTGTTGTATATTGAGTCTACTTGAAGGCTTCTAACAACAACAGTGCATAAGCATAATTCCATTTCCAAAATTGCTTTGTTCTCACTTGTTACAGTTAAACTTCATCTATTTACATATTTTGATTTTTGACATGGAAATTCTGGAAGCAGTTTGGTGGTTATTGTTATGTGTCATCAAGTCACTTGCAACTCATAGCAGCCCTATGCACTATAGCTCTGAATTGTGTTATGTCCTGAACCAATCTTATTATCTCCAACACATCTGCCCTTGTTACCCTAGTGTGTCAATCTATCTCATCCAGAGTCTTTCCTCTCCTACCTTTACCCTCTACCCTTCTAAGCATGATGTCCTTCTTTCTTTAAGGACTAGTCCCTCCTGGCCACGTGCCCAAAGTATGTGAGAAAGAACTTCAAAATTCTTGCCTCGAGAGAGCAACTTAGATTCACCCTCTCCAGGACAGGCCTATTTGTTCTCTTGACAGTCCATGGTATGTTCATTATTCTTCTTTAGCACCAGAAGTCAAAGGCATCAATTCTTCTGTCATCCTTATTCACTGTCCAACTCTCTAATGCATAATAAGCAAGTAATGGTGAAGACCACGGCCTTCATCAGGTATACCTTAGTCTCTAGACTGACTTCTTTGCTCTTCAGTACTCTGGAGAGGTCCTTGATGGCAGACTTTCCTAATGCAGTTAGTGTTTTGGTTTCCTGGCTGCTGATTCCAAGAATCTTAATTTTGGACCGGAGCAAGCTGAAATTGTTAGGAATCTCAGTCCCTTCTCCCTTTATCATGGTGTTGCCAGTTGGTCCACTGGTGAAAATCTTTGTTTTCTTGATGTTGAGGTCCTCTTGTTTTTAAAACAAAAAGAAGACAGTCCTTTGACCTAGCAAATTGGTTTTCATCTATAAAGCCTTAGATCATCTGTATTTGTGATGTCAGTTCAGAAAGAAGACTCCTTCAGAAAGAAGTCACTAGCATTATTTTCCCCCCGTGTCATTTCATTAATGACTGATGATTGGATTGGCATGGCTAGTTTTTATTTTTATTGTGACATTGTTCCCACTTTGCCCTGGATAACACAAAACACGACCTGCAGAGAGGCCTCTCCATAATCAGGTCTGACATTTGTTTTCACAAAAATGTCAGAACATTTTCCTTTTAAAGACAGCAGTCATACTTTTCGTGTATTGTATCTTTATAAAATGTTTATGATTAATTATTTTTATTATTTCTTATTCCTTACCCTTCATTGCATTTGAATTTTCCACCAGAATAGAAACCGAGAAAGATTCTTTTCATCTTCTCGGATCCTAGAGCCAAAGCTAGGTGCTTCCTTGTTATTGCCTGCTGTTGAGTTGGTCTTGCCTCATAGCTATCCCATGCACAGCAGAGCAAATTGCTGCCCCAGCCAGTACCATTCCTGACTCTTTACAGAGTGAACAGCTGTGATCCATGGGTTTTCATTGACTGATTAATAGAAGCAGATCATCAGGTTTTTCTGCATCGTCTATCTTAGTCTGGGAGTTCTACTGAAATCTGCCCAATGTTATAGCAACACAAAAGCCTACGCTGATAAACAGATATGGGCTGTGCCGGATGTACATTGGCCCATAATTTAATTCAGGCCTTCCGTATGGAGAATTCTATCCCTGAACCATCACTGTAAATAGTGAGATCTCTTCCTTAGTCCTTTCTCTTTTTTAATGTATACATTTCTTTTCTTCCAGCTAGCACATTTGATTTTCACACAAAGCAGTGTCTGATAAGAGAATTTCATTTTATTATTTAGAATGAAAGTGTGTGGGCACTTAGAGAAAGGAATCCTGGTGGCACATTGGTTAATCACTGAGCTGCTAACTGAGTGGTCAGTGGTTTGAACCCTCCAGCTTCTCCACATGAGACAGATAAGGGATTCTGCCTCTAGAAAAGATGCACAGGCCTGAAAACCCTGCTGGCAGTTCTGGTCTGTCCTGCAGGGCTGCACGAAGTGGGAATTGACTCAGGTGCAGGGAGTTTAGTGTTTTTTTTGATTTTTTTTATTCTAAGAGAAAAAAAATTAAAATAAAATTTTCAGAAATTGCAGAAGCATATGGTTTTAATGTTGACTTGTGGGTCTGACATAGATTGTGAAGACAAGCCTGTTTAAGATGCCCTTACGTTGTCCAAGGTAGAATAGTGGTATTTGCAGTGAAGTTCTCCGACTTGCCTCTGTTACATTACCTGTTTTTGCTCAAAGTACTTGGGTTGATGGGTTTTCACTGATAATTGCTATATTGGACTTGAGTTGATATATCTGTAGGGCTCATTTCCACTGTCGACATGACATTTCTTGAGCCAGTGGCTGCTCCAAGAAGTCTCTAGAGGTCCTCAGGGTCATGGGTCAGCCCAGTGCTTATCATGGTGAGGGTGTCTGATTGCTCTCACCTTGTGCTGTATCCTGTATGCAACATCTCATTTTCAGCGTCTACCATGTGACATATTACATAATATGAATTGTATACTAGTAGGAAACTTACAATTATCAGAATTAGAATTTGGATCTCATTATCTCAAAGCTGTTTAATTGACAGTCTCTGAAAACCTGATGGAAGGTCAGCTATGAGTCCTTCTGACTCAATGGCACATTATAATAATAACAACAATGTCAAAGCTAACTTCACTGTCTTTATGAGTTCATGATTTCTTAATGTGTTCTTATCCACAGGGTGAGGACACGAGAATGAAATGTAAAGTTCATCACATTGCCAAGGAGATCACAAGCTCTGAGAAAGTGTAGGTACTAATCTTTAATTCAGAAGATTTGTTTTCTTCATTGGTTCTTTTAAAACATTTTTTCTTTGCTTTTTTCCCCCCTTCTAGGTTTGTGGATGTGTTAAAACTTTTACATATTGTAAGTATCTGCTGATATTTCCTTGTAGTCTAATTTAAATGAATCTCATGCAAATATGTGTATGTGATTTCTAATTCATGTCTTTGTGCTTCAATTTCACATGCATGTAAATATAGAAATTTTGTAAAATACGTGTATGTTGTGTGTAGATAGCCTATCTGAAAAGTACAGTATTTAGACCTGCATTTCCAAAGTTTTTAAACATTGTATTTTCATAATAAAGAACAGTTAATGTAATAATATTTCCTTCTTGGCTACTTGCAAAGTATCTACTATCAGTAAAATTTTGCACTCCAGTATCTAAAGAATGCCATGATTATTTCTTAGAACCATATTCCTGCTATACAAGTAAGCTCCCAGAAACAGATCTTTAAAACAGATACTTTTGCAACAAACTTTTAAAAGTTCTATTTTCCATTTTTATACCTAACAACTTGAATGGACCTGTTGGGAAACAATTATAATATGTTTAGTACATAGTCACTTTCCTCCTGTACTCCTTTGTACCTGCAAGTTTTCACAGGTTTTGTCATAAACACTGGCAGTTAAAGTACTTTTACTGTGACTTTATTCCAGTTATATTTTGGCAAGACATTCAGGCTTAACAAGAAACGTGGGTAAAATAGATGAAACAATGAAGAAAGCAATTGGAGTGAAAATTCACTTTGATGGTGGAATTATGAACTTCGTTTTAAATTTAATTATATATACATGAAAAGTGAGTTACATTGGGAGATGACTCAGCTTTACCTTGATACTCTAATACTTGGTCCAGTGGAAATATGGAGGCTTAATTGTTGTGAGCATTATAGAGATCGTACAAATGCCTCAGATCTGCTATTCAAGGTTTTCTGAGTTGTAGTCAATTTGATGACACCAGAGAGCAACAACAGCAGTTGTTGTGTAACACAAGTTTCACCATCTTTGCCTCTAAGGAGCCCCCTGGTTGCATATTCTTTTCATTAGGTGACAGCAAGTCAATGAGGACTCATCTGTGAACAACAGATCTTAGTCTTTCTCTATCATGTGCCATCTTCATGATCTCTGTCCTGCTCAAGTCCATTATGGTAGTCACAATGCCGATTCAATGCCACGTCAAGTCCATTTTTGTAGTCACTGTTAATCTGTCTTATTGAGGGTTTTCCTCTCTTTCATTGACCTTCTACTTTTCCCAGCATGATATATTTTCCAAGGACTAATTCTTCCAGAAACTATACTCAAAGTAATTAAGGTGAAGTTTCACCATCCTTGGCTGCAAGGAGCATTCTGGTGGCATTTCACTCAAGACAGATTTGTTTGGGTTTTAGGTTATTTTTGCAGTTGGTTGTATATATTCAGTACTCGTTGCCAACATCACAGTTCAGTGGCATCTATTCTTCTTTTGGCAGCCTCATTCGTTGTCCAGTTTTCAGATGTGTAGGAAGCAATTGAAAAGTTCATGGCTTAGATCAGGTGTTCCTTAGTCTTTAAACAGACATCCTTGCTCTTTATAACTTTGCAGAGATCCTTGACAGTAGATATCCTGAGCCAACACATTTTTTTATTTGACTACTGCTACTATGTATATTGATTGCAGATCCAAGTAAAATGATAATTGTTGACAAATTCAGTCTTTTCTCTATAAGTCATGATGTTGCCTGTTGGTATAGTTGTGAGGATTTTTGTTTCCTCGATGTTGCCATGTAACCCAAATTGAAGACTATAGTCTTTGATCTTCTGCAGCAAACACTTCAAATCTTCTTTACTTTCTGCAATCAAGATTGTATCTTTTGCATAATGCAGGTTGTTGATAAGTTTCAAATCCTTATGCCACCTTGAAGTGACTCCATTATGAATTTTAACTCTTCATAGGGTTCAACTTCTCAAAGGGTTTGCTCAGCATACAGATTGATCAAATATGAAGAAAGGACACAACCTTGACACACACCTTTCCTGATTTTAAATCTTGCAGTGTTCCTTTGTTTAGTCAACCACTTCTTAGTCTTTGTATTTTCATGAGCACAATTAACTGTTCTGGGATGTCCATTCTTCAGAATGTTAGCCATAATATTTTATGATCCACACAGTCAAATAGCTTTGCACAATTAAAAAAAAAAAACCAAGTAAACATCTTTCTGCTTTTGCATAGTCTTTGAAGACTGTGGAAAGAGCTGGAATCAGAAAATCAAAAGAGCAGAACTCACTTGGAATTTCTCAAGATGAAGGAACTGAAGAACAAATTCAAGCCATGATTTGTAATACTTGAAAATGCTATGGGCAATGTATTGAACGATCTAGAAAGTATTATTAAAAGAAGATGAAAGGAATACACAAAGTCACTGACACAGAAGAATTTTTGTTTTGTTTTTAATTAATTTTAATGTAAGTTCACAGAGACTTAGGGTTTCCAGTCATTCATTGTTGCACTTTTTTCCCTACCCACCCCCACTCTCCAATCCACTCTTCTCCTTGAAAAAGAAAAATTCTTTCATTGTTATGCAATCTCTGCCCCCAAGTCCACTCCGCTATGCAGCCTTCACTCTGGACTTCTGTAATGACAAGAATACCCATTCATATATCCCTTTTAAACAGTTCTCTCCCTCTTTGACACGGAAGAATTTTATGAAACAGCATATGATCAAGAAGCATTGAAGATGAAAGAGGAAGTTCAATCTGCTCTGAAGGTATTGGCAATAAACAAGGCCCCAGGAATTGATGGCTTACCAGTAGATATATTTTAACAAACACATGCTCCCCTGGACATGTCCCCGAGGTTGTCCCAAGAAATGTGAAGGACGACTACCTGGCCAGCTGAGACTGGAAGTATATTTATTCCCATTCCCCAAAGCAGTGGTTCTACAGAATGTGGAAATTATTAAACAATATCACTATTATCACATGCAAGCAAAATTTTGCTGAAAATTATCCAATAGAGAAATAACAAACAGAAGCTGGATTTAGAAGAGGCTTTGCCATTAGGGATATCATTGCTAATGTCAGATGGATCGTGGCTGAAAGTAAAGAGTAACAGAAGGATGTCTATTATTGTTTTATCGACCATGCAAAGCATTCGATTCTGTAGATCACCAATAAATTGTGGCTCATATTGAAAAGAATGGAAATCCCAGAACACGAGATTGTGCTGCTGTGAAGCTATACCTAGCTACACCAGGAAGCTGTTATCTGAACAAAGCAATGGAACACTGCATAGTTCAAAATCAAGAAAGAAGTGTGTCAAGGATATATCCTCTTTCCATACCTTTTTTAATACAAATGCAGGACATATCGTTCAGGAGGGTAGACTTTATAAAGAAGAATGTGACACTAGGATTGGAGGAAGACTCATCATCAACCTGTGTTATGCAGTTGACACAACCTTGTTTGCTGAAACTGAGGAGGACTGTAGAAGGTCAAAGACTGCTGACTTAAATATGAATTGAATCTCAATATCAAGGAAACACAGATCCTCTTATTGGCAGTATCACAATCAGTGGAGAAAGGATTAAAGTTGTTACTGATTTCATCTTGCACCAGTGGTTAGGAAATCAGAAGACAAGTTGCATTGGGAAAATCTGCTGTCAAATATCCCTCCAGAGTTCTAAAAAGCACTGATATCAGTTTCAAGACTACGGTGCACCTGATCCAGGCCATGGTCTTCTCAATTGCTTGTTATACATCAGAGAGCTGGACAGTTAATAAAGATGACAGAAGAATGGATGCTTGTGAATGATGCATTGTGAAACACAATGTATACAAACTTTGTAAGCAAACCAATGTAAAGTAAAAATTGAGAAAAAGAGAGATGGTGCTGGGGAAGAGTATTGAACATACTATGGACTGCCAAGAGAAAAAACAGGTCTGTCTTGGGGAGGGTGAAACCTGTTTGCTCCTTGGAAGCAAGGATTTTGAAGGTCCATCTCACATACTTTGGGCATATTGTCAAGGAGGGACCAGTCCTTGGAGAAGAGCATGATGCTTGGAAGGGTAGAGGATCAGCGCAGGAGAGGAACACCCTGGATAAGAATGATAGACACAGTGACTGTGGCAGTGAGTTCAGGTGTGTCAGACACAGTTAGATTGGCTCTGGACAGGGCAAGGTTCAGAGCCGTTATTCATAGGATCACTATGAGTCCTAGTCGACTTGATGGCACATAACAATAACAAGAATAAGTCTTTGAAGAAAACATTATGCTGGAAGGTAAGAGAAAGAGAGGAAGAACCTTAATGAGAAGAATCAACAGTGACTAACAGTGGGCTTGAACAGTGAGAATGATACAGTGTAGGGCAAGGTTCTTTTGTTTATACAGCTGCTGAGTCATAATCAGCTTGATGACACATCATAGCAACTATTATTGCGTGAGAAATCCCTAGCTCTTCTGAAGAAAATAGAAGGAGGAGAAGACCCTCTATGAGGTGGATTGATTCAGTGACTGGGGTAATCGGAATG